CACAATGGCATTTTCATGCATTTGGGTATATCCCCCCTGCCCATTTCTCACACTTTTGCCTTCTCTCCACCGCTGGTAGTTCCCTTTCCTTTGCCTGTTAGTCCCTTATTCCAGATTTATGTCTGTTTCTTAAATATATTGACTCATTGAATAATTTCTAGATTCACAAAATAGATAAATAACAGGATCAGAAATAGAAAACTGTTTCCATTCTATTAAAAATTCTCTAAATTACACGAATCAATTTAGTTCAGATACTGTGCTGTTTCCTTTTTCTGTAGGTTAGTGTTTGGGCATATCAAGCCAGAAAGTAACCTCCTTATGAAAATCAAGTTCTCATTACAGGGAGTCTCATATATAAATTAGGCATTCAATTGAAGGCATCTTGTTCTTCTTGGTGGTACTTTCCATGGAGTGTTAAACTCACTATATTTTAATAGAAGCAAACATCAATTCTTAAAAACACAAATAACCTTCTACATGACAAGCATAAATTTATCAGAGAGTCTCAGGAATTGTAGATAAAAAGGAATGCATAGAGAATATGTGAATAATTAATGACTGGTGCCAGAGAGAAGGCTCAATAGTTCAGAATTCTTGATATTTTTCTAACAGACCTGAGTTCAGCTCTTAGCACCCAAATAGGTGCCTTTCAATCACCAACATCGCCACAGAATCCAACACCTCTCCTTTTTCTGGTCCTCCAAGACACCTTCACACACACACACACACACACACACACACACACACACACACACACACACACACACACACACAAACACACACACACACACACTACACAGAGGAGGGGCAGGGAGGAGGATGAGCAGATGGGATGGAAGAGGGGAGGAGAAGGAGGAGGAGAAGACAAAAAGTACATGTGAATCTAAACAACAAAATACTTAATGGGAAAAGAATGCTCAACAGAGCACAATTTTCCAGCAGAATCTTATCAAGAGAATCACATCAGTAGGCACAGGAGCCCAGCAGATGCAGTATTCTCAGTCCTTGCTCCATATACACCTACATGTAACTTTTCTTTTTGCATAATGGAATTGAAATATAGTAAAATGGAGATAGTATTTTTATGCAGTATTTGTACCTGCCCTGTGTTTTTACTGGCTGAAATGTTGTATAGTATGAAACTGTGTCAGCGATACTTGAATTTCCAACAATATTTTTTCCAAATCTAAAATGCTATATTTACTTTCTAATTAGTGATAAAGACCAAACTTCCACTTTGTTCTGACACAGATGGAATGTTAATGTGGGAAGAATTACTTTGATTCTTACAGCTTTAATGAGTATTTCAATAATATTTATACTACTAATAATATATTCCCAAGACTTTGATCAATTTTATCACATATACAATTTTCCCCAATATGGCATACTTAACTGTATTCTTAAACACTGAATTTGGCATGAAATTAACTTACCATATAAAATAATTCATTTTAAAATTAAGATGAAACAATAAAAGATAGTGATGAAGGAAGAGAACATCCTCTTAGAATAACTGTTGTTCTTGTTTCCTGTAAGAATTCAGGTGGGAATGCATAAACTTCCTGAACAACACAGATATCTTTCCTAAACAGCACAAAGAATAGACGTCACTTTTCAACAATGACTTTTCATCACTGATAATTATCAGAAACGGACTTCAGAATGTCCTTAGAAATTCTTCTCCTCACTACAAAACATAAATTAATGGGCTTCACACAGTAAGCCCCGAGGATGCTATATTGCTGTCTTCCTACTTCTGGCACAGCACCTAACAGACTCCTGCTATCTACTCCTTGCACCTTGAAAAATAAGATTATTTATGCCGGTCTCTCAAACAAGTACACAGCAATTTATCAACACAAAATTGTTTTCTCAGCCTGTCTTATCTCATCGTTTTGCCAGTTAATGAACAGCAACTTAGTATACCACAATAGCCTTGAATAAATCACTGGTTGTTCTTGACAAATGTCAGCAGAAGTATCATTGAAGTTGATAGCAAACATTCTAAGCAAAGTAGAATAATATTAACATGCATTTGCTCTTTAAATGATACAAGCATTATATCCATAAAATATGTTCATTTGTGCCTATGCAAGAGCAAAAATTTCCCATTATAATATATTCGCCTCATGATTTTTTTTAATCCTTCTTCTCAAAACTTCACTATTGAAAAAGAAGAAGGAGGAGGAGAGAAGAAGAAGAAGAAGAAGAAGAAGAAGAAGAAGAAGAAGAAGAAGAAGAAGAAATAATTCTGCATTCTACTTCCATACACAGAAAGCTGAGAGTCACCCCTGTCTTTTAAGAAGGAAAAAGCTGAATAAACTGAAAATGCCACCCCTCTGAGATCTTTCAGAGAGGAGAGGTCAAAGGGCAAAGCACTGTGCCCCTCTCAGAAATTAGGTGGACCTATGAGTAGACACAGAGAATCACAGGTTGCTGAAGCAGAAACCCAGAGTGCAACCATCTGTGAGAGGCCACGCTGACACAGGGAAATCTGCACTGTAACTGATGCATGGCTGGGGACTCCACCTGGATGAATGCCCTATGAGAAGAGGAAAATCAAAGACCCAGTCATTCTGATCCACTTGCTTTTTTTGAGTTTGACCTGTAGGAGCTTTTCTAGTGTCTCCCAGTGAGTACTGGAGAAATATCCCCTTATCCTCTGGAAGAGAGAAAGGAAACATGATCATTTGAAGTATATCTGAATATCCTGTTAGCAGTGTAAATACGCTAGTTAAAATGAAGGCCAATCTTCTGCAGCTTTATCAGTCTTATTTAAGGAAGGAAACCATGAGTTCAAGGCTACACTGGATTTCCACAGAGAAGAGAATAATTATTCAGTTATAGTCTCCAGTAGCTAGAATGTCAGAGAGAGAGAGAGAGAGAGAGAGAGAGAGAGAGAGAGAGAGAGAGAGAGAGAGAGAGAGAGAGAGAGAGAGAGAGAGGAAGGAAGAAAGAAAGAAAAAGAAAAAGAAAAAGAAAAAGAAAGTGAATGGGGAGGCATCAAAATGTCTTTGGTATGGAGTGTCCAAAGATCGTGCCTCAATCTCAACAGGTTTGGCCAAAGTAAAAAATTTAAAAGGTAAACTTGAGAAACAGAATAAAATAAAGCAAACAAATGAACAAACCCAACAGAATAGATGATCCAAAAACTGTGGGGCAACCACAAAATGTACATACTACATGATACAGCAAAGTGAAGAGAAAAAAGCAATAGACTAAGAAACATTCACAATAAGTATTGCAAAGCTAGCAAAGTTGTTGTTAAACAGCAAACCATTTACATAGAATGGACAAAATACATGGTGGTTTGAAAAAGAGTGGTCCCATGGGCACATATATTTACACGCTTAGTTGCCGGTTGGTGAACTCTTTGGGAAGGATTAGGAGATGTGGCCTCATTGGAGGAGGTATGTTGCTGGGTGTGGGCTTTAAGATGTCAAAAGCCAACTCCAGTCCCAGTGTCTTTCTGCCTGCTGCCTGTGGATCAGGATGTAAAGCTCCCAGCTACTGCTTGAGCACCATGCCTGTCTGTTTTCCGGCCATTATGATAAAGGACTAACCCTTTGAAACCATTAGCGAGCCCCCAATTATATGTTTTCCTTTGTAAGAGTTGACTTGGTCTTAGTGTCTCTTTACAGCAGCAGAACAGTAACTAAGATGAACACTGAGGAAAAATACAAGAAAAAAAATCTCATAATCTAAAATCTACACACTGAGGAGCTGTGAAAACACAGTACCTAAGTTCCTATTATCAAAATGCACATAAAACGTTACATGGTAGATGACTTCTGCAATCCCACTGTTCCTGAAGCTAGACAGGAGGTGGAGACAGGAGACTCTCCAGAAGCTCATGTGCCAGTTAACCTGGCATCCACCATGGTGGACAAGAGACCCTCTCACAAACAAGGTGAAAAGTGTGGCTTAACACCCAAGGCTGTATTCTAACTTGTACACATGCTTCAGGGTGCATGTGCCCCTAAACTCACAGACATGTATACACACCATACACACAGAAAATATATTTAAAGTCTATAAATAGTCTGGTTTGTGGATGTGAATGCTTATATGATTATGTATATACATGTGTACATGTGTACAAGTGTATGTATACATATGTTTATGCATATTTGGGTATAAATGAGCACATATCTATCCACGTATATGTGTATATATGTCTGTGTATGTGTGTTTGAGCAGTTACACAGTGTGCATATTTATGCTTTTGTGTGTGTATATGTAGCAAGTAAATATTTTGATTAAGTATGACTCTAGGATCTTTATTAGCTGCTCCAGTCTCAGAATCTGCAAATACATCTTTTTACTATGCTTTTGGCAAAGTCGTATTTGGAAAAAAATAAAGACTGAAATATCAAAAGAGTAGTGCAAAAAGCTAAGAATAATTTAAACCTACATAGCTAAAATAATTAATGAAATATGCAGTTTACATCCACATATGATATCTTAATTTAATTTTCTATACATAATCATACTCTTACCCTACCAAACAGTTTTTTTCTCTAAGAAAGACAGCTTTCATAAATAACCATGTTTTCAATCAGATTTTTTCCTTTTCTTGGATCATGTCCTAGAAGAATTATAATAAACAGAAAATTTGGCAAAAGTAAATAGAAATGGAGCCGAGCTAGATAATCCATAAATTGCACAATAAGCCTAAGAATAATTGAATTGATTCTGATTCAGAACTGGTTTAGCTTCAGATATTCCTCCCTGTCTGTATTCTGCATGTTTGCGTATGCGTTTTAATAGGAGTTAAAGCCAAAGAGTTTGGCAGGAATGTCTTTACTTACTATATTTCATCATTTCGATGATGACTGGTGCCTCTGCAGATTTCTTAAAACAAAAATAATTAGGCATTTCCTAGAGATTATTAGAGATATATAAGTGAGAACAGCTGTGAATGTAGAAATATCAATTGGTAGGGGCTGGAGAGATGGTTAATAGAAATGTCTGCTCTTCCAGAGCACCTGAGTTTGATGGTCAGCATCTACACAGCGGCCCACTACTGTCTGTAATTCCAGTCTCGGGGCATCTGACAGCTCTCTGGCCTCAGAAGGTACCAGGAACACACATGGAACACAGCCATACATGCAGGTAAAACATCTATACACTTAAAAATAAATATTAAAAATAAGAAAGTATTAATGGATAATATAAATATTCAATATGAGTGTAACTATCATGTATGTGGCAATGTGAAAAAGGGGCTTCGATTTGCCCACTTTCAGTAAATAACAAAATATGATCTCATGATTACTATACACATGCCACTGACTCCTCAATTTTTTATTTATTGCACACAGGCCCCTGTGGAGCTTCTACCATTAGCTTTTAAATTTGGCAATATTTCCATTCTCCCACCACAGTTGCCTTCTACCCAATAAAGGGCATGTTCCCTCTTCCAGTATCAGAATATCTAAATCTTATGTATGTTTTCTTATGAGTCATGGACAGGTGATATATTGTCTGTCATTGACAAAATGAAAATTCTGAGCAGAAGGCTTATCCTTGTATAAATTTGTGTGAACATATCAGTTCATTTTAGTAATGACTCTGGAATTCATCAAGACACTCATGCTCCATAGTCTCTTCCTGGTGACTGGATCTGTATCTCACAGCTTAAAGATACCTGTAACTTGGAAATGACCCTGTGCCAGTCTTGTCTGCAAAGTCATTTATATGTCTGTCTGTTTATCTACATAACTACTTGCTATCTGCCATTCATCTATCTAAATACACCGATATTTATCAGTGTCACCTTGACATCTCAAATATTATGTTCCAAAACCAAACTCTTGATACCTTTTCTAATAACTGATATTTCTTGCATTACTCATTTTGACAAATTTTGCCATTTCTCAGCTTCCACATTATCCCTATCAGAAATGCACGGTTCTGTCTTAGTCATTTTCTGCATCTAAACAACTCACATTTTTTTTTTAAATTTAAAGTCTTACTGCACACTTTTTAAGCAGATTCTTCTAAGCCATTATCGTGTTTTATTTAGACTTATTATAAATACAAATCTTATTACAGAGATTTCTTGATAAAATGAAACACTTCCAATGTCTCCTAAGACTAACTTCAAAATCACTAATTAAACACAACAAAGTCCTACTATATTTCTGCAACACAGAATTGCAAGACTATCTTCTTCATCATGACAGGTTTCCTTCTTTTCATCCTTAAGGACTGATTGTTTTACTGTCCTTATCCCCAATTATTTCCTTCCTTCCACATATCTAGCTACATTCTATGCCTGATGTAGTTCTATTTATTACATAAGTTTCTACTGAGCATCATTTCATTAAGAAGGTATATTTGTCAAGGTTCTCTAATAGAATGAATGTATATGTGTATATATTTATTATATTATATTATATTATATTATATTATATCATATCATATCATATCATATCATATCATATCATATCACATCACATCACATCACATCATATCATATCATATCATATCATATCATACCATATTATATTATATTATATTATATTATATTATATTATGTACCAGGGTTTTTCTTTAGGGCCAACCAGCTCCCAAATCATGATAAGGATACTTACTATTAGTTTTGAATGATTGGCCTAGCTTAGGCTTGTTTCTGGCTAGCTCTTTTAACTTAAATTAACCTATTTCTCCTTATCTACCTTGTGCCCTGGGGCTTTTTACTCTTTCTTCATGTATAACTTACTTTCACTACTTCTGTCTGTCTGGCAGCTGCCTGGCTTCTTGCCCTAGGCATGTCCCTCATGCTCTTCTTCTCCTTCTCTTGTTCATCCTCTCGAGCCTAGATTTATCCTCTTATTTATTCTCTCTCCCTGCCATCCTTGCCTAGCCCTTTTCTGCTTCGCTATTGGCCATTCAGCTGTTTATTAGACCAATCAAGTGCCTTAGTCAGGCAAGGTGAAACAAATGCAACACAGCTTTACATAATTAAACAAATGCAGCATAAATAAAAGTATCACATCTTTACATCAGCAGTGAAGGTGGCAGAAACAAGTGTAACAAACCTTTACACAGTTAAAGTAATATTCCATAGCATAAACAAATGTAACATATCTCTGCCTAGTTAAAATCATATTTCACAACAGCAATAACATATATAATACATATATTAACATATATAAAAGGAGATGTATTGTAGGATGCAGTCCAGGTATTCCAACAATGCCTGTTTCAAACTGGGAAGGCTGGGAATCTGTTAGTTGTTCATTCCAAGAGTCTGGATGTCTGAGCAGTCCCAATCTCATGCTGAGGCCTGGAGAATTTCTGGAGAGCTGCTGATCTTTGCAATAGAATGCCGAAGGTGTTAGTTCTAATGTTAGTGAGGGACTGCAGTAGCAACAGTATAGATAAACTTGCCAGCCAGAGTGAGGACAAGCCGACTAAAAGGTAAGTTTTCTTCTCTCCTCTCTCTTTATGAGGGCTGCCAACAGAAGGTGGCCATGATTGGGATGGGCTTTCCTGCTTCAAAGAATCTGACCAAGAAAATCCCTCAGAAGAGTGCTAGCAGCTTGTGTTTTAGTTGATTCCAGATTTACTTGATTGTCAGACTGACACCCACGATCAGCCAACACAGAAGGCATTGTCTTTGCTGTAAGACACAGCAATCTTTATTAAATTACATCTTCTCTTTCTTCTATTTCATAGAAACCTGAAGTTCTTTATAACACCAATAAAATATTTAATTATGCGTAGTTTTGAATCTTGTTTTTAGAATTAGTCTCTAAGAGAAATTTCTTAGAATGTTCCAAAATTGGGGGCAAATATGTCATCTTTTAACAAGGTCAAGTGGGTCACTCTTCAAAAAAGAAATATAATTCTGTATTTTATGTATATAACCTTTTATAAATGATATATTTTATCAAAAATATGTGTGCATGTGCATGCTCATGCATTTGTGCATGTGTGTATGCATGTATCTCTGTGTGCCAGTGTGTCTGTGTGCACGCACGTGTGTATGTGTGTGTTTGTATGTGTACGCACATAAATATAGGTGCCTGAGTAGTCCAGAAGAAGGTAATGGATCCCCTGGAGTTAGAGTTACATGTGATTTGTGAGCCACCCCACATGGAAGCAGGAATCAAACTCACATCCTCTGCAAGAGTAATACACAGTCTTAACTACTAAGCCATCTCTCCAACCCCCTTAAGGAGACTCTGATAACTTTGAAAGAGGTCGGGCTCAAATGGGGTGCTAGCACTCTTGCAGGATGCAGCAGTAAGCATCCTCACTCTTTACTCCAGAATGTGCACTGTGCTGTCCATCCATTCTTCGTTCCCTTTGAATTTGTTCTGTGTTGGCCATCAACTGCCTTAAGTGTGGTTTGTATACCCAGTGAGATTCCACTGTGTAACCTAATATTTCTTTTGCAAGAAGCTATAAATTGCAGATAGCATCTTGGTTAGGGATGGGAGCTTGTATCCACTTTGCCCTCTCAGTACTGGGACTCACCTGGCTTTGACCTATGTAGGCCCTGTGCTGGTTGCCATAGTCCCTGTGTAGCCATATGTGCATCAGTCCTGTGGTATTGGAAAGGCATTGTTTCTTTGGTATCCTCCATCCTTTCTGGCTCTTACAATCTTTCTGCTTCCTCTTCTGTGTGGTTCCCTGTGTTCTGAGTTAGGAGTTTGATGGAGCCATTACATGTAGGACTGAGTGTTACAAGATCTCTCACTGCACATTGTCCAGTTATGTCCCTCTATATTTCTTCCCATTTACTGCAGAAAGAAGCTTCTCTGATGATGGCTGAGTGAGATACTATTCTATGAGCATAGCAAAATGAAACTATGATGACTTTTCCATTAGCAATATTTATTAAATTATATATTTCAGTAGTTGAGAACATTTTCATCATCTATTTATTGAAACTCTCCAGTTGAAAATATTTTATAAAATGGTAATTGATAGAATATATATCTTACTAGCCATTATAGTTTTTCAACATAAGGCTCATTTAAAACACAATAGCTTAAATTTGTAAGCATATCAATATTTACATCAAAGATAATTTAATACAACTACTATAATCATATCAAAGATCTGCAAAAAATAAACTAGATGAAAGCTCACAATTTTTAGCCCCATATATTTTACCTTTTCCATGAAAATATCTATAAAAAGCTATACATTATCTTACATTTTGTAATATGGTTAATTCATAACTTGATTATAGAAAAATATCTTTTCAGTATGTTTTAAGACACAGGAAAGTATTGGAAAACTTGCTTGTGAGAAGTGTCACAATTGTTTCTTCAGAGCATATCAAACATCCTATTTTGAAATTTTCAGAAATTCCAAGTTAATGCTACATTTTGTTGTAAACAGTAATTTTATGCCAACTGAGATATATCCTTGCTCTTTCAGAGTGGAATTTACCATATCTGAAGTTTCACGATTGAGGCTTGAAGATCATATGTAGTTTATCTCGACCCTGACAAGCAGCATTTTAGTTTTGGTTTCAATTAATCAAAGAATATTTAGGTTTCTTTTTACTTATATTCTTTTTTCCTTAATTTGAAATTTCATTTTCTGTTGACACATTTCATATGTCAAGCAGTTACAACACTATTATATTTGATTCTTCTTGAGAGACTGTTAATCAATTGTTAAATTCACAGTCCAGAAACCATGGAAGATCAATGAGTAGTCAATCTTTCATATTTGTATATTATGCATTCTGATCTAATTGTAGGCACCTTAGTTATCTTTAAGGAAGATACATTCACTATGACTTAGCAATAAATTACTGTTAACTACTATTGTAGAAACCATCTGAACACCTTCTGTAAAATAGATACAAGTACAAAAGTTATAATGTGTTTTGACACAATTATAAGTCTGAGTTGTTACTGGAAATTTCTACAGTTGAGGATTTATTTTCAATTTTTCTAAATATGATGCAAACTACCATCACAAACTGTGATTTCATGTAGCTCTTGTTAACTTTTCTGTGTGTATTTCTCTTACCTTTTTTGCTTTGCTTTTATTTTATTATTATTTTTATTAACATCTTCTTTCTTTTATATGAACTTTTTGTTTGAGATTCTTTTATTTCCTATCAAGGCAGCCTCCTCAAG